GTCTCGAGCCTCCTGCCCCAGGGCCTTTGCATGTGCTGATCCCCCCCTTTGCCTGAATGCTCTTCCAGAATAGCCGCATGCCTTTTCCACTCTATTCAGTACCTCCTCATCTCACAGCTCTCTGCTAACACTTTTCTTTCTGGAGAAAGGCAGCTTTTCAGGGTCCCAGATAATTCTTGTAGCTCCTTCTTCTCACATTTGTAATTAAACAAGTCATTAAATATGTGTAAGACGATAATGACAGAAAATCATCAGAATTAGGCTGCGCAACAAAAGGGTTCAGCACCCACAACTACTCCATGCCATGGCTCTGGCTCACCCCACAAGCCAGAGCAAGAACTGGTAAATGGCAGGCACTCTGGAAGATCCAGCCTGCCAGGCAAAGGCAAAGCCTTGATGGTGGAGATCAAGGGACTTCAGCTCTGCCCCACCCCCTCCCTTGGCACAGGGTCCTGGGGCCCTTGGTAGGGCTCTGACGTCAGCACAGATATGGAGCGGTTCCTTTTGTCCTCTCCCAACAAGCCAGCCCTATGGATCGGGTTCTGCTGCCAGGGGACAGCTGGCTGCTGTGGCTGTGGTGCTGACCCCAGGAGGGAGGGGCACCTTGGCAGCCGGATTGCAAATAAGTGGAGGAGCTGCTTTATGGGGAAGAAGCCAAGGGGAGCTCGGAGTTGTGTGGATTTTAGGAGCAAGGGGACGGGGTCCCTCCGTGCGTCTTCCCTATTACAAACAGCACACAGCACTCGGGAGTTGTTAGCAATAATGGATGGGAGGAATCCCCACGTAGTGTAGCATGTGCTCCAGGGTGTCTGGCTGCCTATTTTGCAAGCTATGTCTGCATGCAGCTGGTTTTGCACAGCTGAAAACTTGGTGCGGTCTGCTGTGCTTTTCCCTTTCTCCTTCATTGGAGGTCATATGTGAGCGTTTCTCAGGTGACTCTGCGGTGCTTCTGGTGTTCGGAGTTGAGGGCTGCAGAATGCAGCTTCCCCAGGCTTCCTCAGCCCCCACTGCTCCAGGCCAGCCGCTGCGTTCTCCCTGCTGCCCCTGCTTCCTGCAGCTCACCCTGCTGAGGCCTGGGTTTGGGGTGCCGGGTGACTCCAAGCAAGCTACCAAACCTGTCCAAGTCCTGTCGTTACATCTCCCACCTGGAGGACAGTAAGGATGCTTCCCTTCCGGCTGGCGCTGTGGGAGGGTTCATGAGTGACCACAAGTCGAGTGGCTTAAAAGAATAAATATGCCAGTTGTTTATTCTTTTGAGCAATTTCTCTCCCTTTCTTAATATCTACTGTACATTTTGGGTTCCACTTACTCTTTCAAGTTCTTACACTAGGGAGAGAATATGATGTTTACACATGTGGGTCCTATTTATTTCACTGAAAAAGAAAGAAGGAAGGGATATCTATCTATCTATCTATCTATCTATCTATCTATCTATCTCTCTCTCTCTCTCTCTCTCTCTCTCTCTATATATATATATATATATATACAGAAGGATAGCTGGGATAACTGTAACACTGATGTCTCATGGTTTATTGAAAAAACAATTTACAAAACAGTTAATGCTTTATTTTTTAATTTTTTGACCAAGTTTCCATGCTTATATCTGGTAATCTGAACAACGAATTTGAAGCCAACAGTATGCAATATAACAACCACTGTTCAATTCCTACCATCTTGTTTTATGAAACTGTGTATTGTTTATAATTTTTTCATTTTTATTTTTTATGCTCTTTAATGGTTTGATCAATCTTGCATTCTTATATCTGGTAATCTGAACAACTTCAACAAAGATAAAAATACGGAGTATAACAACCGCCGTCAATCCCTATCATTTTGTTCTCAACCCCTGTATCACTTATTGTTTTTGCTTCATTTTATTTTTGTCTCTGTTGTTGGCATTTCATTATTGTTTTTTTAATTCTCTTTAAAAGAAAACAAAAGAATAGATATGCATTCTTCCACATACAGGAGGAGTCAGCACTGAGGGCTACTGGGGCTCTGAGGGGGAACCGCCCCGTGCCTTCCTTCATTCTGGGTGTCTGCTACCGTCCTTGCCATTCCTCGGCTTATACACAAGTCGCTCCCCGCTCTGCAAACATCTTCACATCTTCTCTGCTCCATGTTCCTCTTCTTATAAAGACGCTGATCAGTGGATTTAGGACTCACCCTACATCCAGGACGATGTCCTCCCCAGGCCCTCGACTTCACATGCAAAGACCTACTTCCAAACAGTGCCACTGTCTGAGGTTCTGGAGGTAAGTGAATTCTGGGGGATACTATCGAACTCACTATAGGAGGACAATGCTGGGAAGTTATTAGCTCCAGTAAAAGTTGGATGTTACCACTACCTCGATCACAGACATTGTACAACATCAACAGACCTCCCTCCAGGCTGACTCAGCCACTAGGCAGAGTTGGCATGGCCAAGTCTCATTTCCCATGCTGAAATCAGAGCCCGAGACCCTGTGTAGTGAGCATGAGGGTGACAGAGGAGATACGGATGAGGTGGGCAGGGGAAGCCCCCACAAAATGTGTCCATTTAAGACAAGAAGAGAAAAGGAAATCTCATCCAGCACAGATTGTATTTGTCTAGATCGTATTATTTGAATGGTAAGAAGAGAAACACGTCCACGTGAGGTCAGCAGAACTCACACGTACCCAACACCAGTCCCCAGGAGGGCTGTTCTAGGGGGGAAGTCACCAGAGGATGTGGGAAGCAGTCTGTCCCTGACGCCACCCTCACCCGGGGACACACAGGTGAAGGCAGTGGCACCCCTGGCTGGCAGCAGTGCCCAGGCATGGGTGGGGGCAGACTTGGAGGACTTCCTCAAGTGGGTTATGGTCCAGATGAGATCGGAGGATGAACAGGAGGCAGGCAGGTGAGGGAGGGAGTGTAAGTTCGAGGCAGGGTTCAGGGAGTCCACAAGTAGAGGCAGGGAGGGGCAGGACACTCCAGATGGGGACCAGCAGCTGCAGACTCTGGCGAGAAGACTGAGCCCAAGAGCTGGAGGAGAGAGGGCAAGGAAGGCAGGGCAGGTCACACCAAGCTATGGGAGACCTTTATCAGGAACACAAGTTTTATTCTGTGTACAATGGAAGCTGCTGGAAGATTTTAAGCCACATGCTCGGACCTAAGTCTTTCTATGATTCCTCCAGCGGTGGAGATTGGATGGGAGGGGATGTATCAGGGTGGCAGGGAAGTGACTGACCTTATCTGGGTAACTGTGTAGTACGCTCAGCCCACAGCACTGGCAAAGGACATGCCATAAAGCCAAGGGGTTTGGGGGACAGTGTGGTCAACTCTTGCTGGGAGACTGAGCTCAGAGGGTAAGTTGGGGAAAACTCTACAACAGATGGTGCCATTCAGGTTTTGAAACTTGAATAGGAATTTGTTCAGAAAGCGAACTGCCATAAGAGAAGATTAGCATGTCTGACATCAAGGGGGAACCCCAAGGGAGTGGATAGTCCTGGAACGTAAAGAGAAAAGCAGGGCATGGCAAAGGGGAGAATGCTGGGAAGGAAGTAGGGGGCCTAAGGGGCCAGTGATATCATACTCAGAGTCTGGGTTTCATGTTACAGGTGGTGGGAGCTACAGAAACCACATACAGATGGTTCTGCTTATGATTTTGCAACTTTGTGATGGGATGAAGTGGCACATGCTCAGCAAGTACCATCCTTCAAATGTCAAATTTGAGTCTTGGCAGGGTGGCTAGCAGTAAGTGACACTAACCTCTCTCCTGGTGCTGGATGGTGGCAGTTGCCAGTCAGCCACATGATCACAAGGGGAATAACCGCTATGCTATTCTCTTGGGGATAAGTACCTCCCCAAGGCCCAGGAGTTACCAGTTTAGTCTCCAGCCTCCGAGGCTATTGGGAGGTGGTGGAATTGAGATGGAAGAGCTGTGTTCCAGTCACACAGACACATACCCTTGACAGGGACACTAGGACCCGAGCCTTGCTTCTTTCTCTCCTTATGCTTCATGGCTGCCATGAGCTCAGCAGCTGTTTCTGCCATGTGTTCCTGCTGTCACATTCAACTATGTACTGGCTCCAAATCAACCAACCAACTGACCATGGAATGACACTACCAAAACTGTGAGCCCAAAGAAAACTTTTTTTCTTTTAAAAATGATTATCTCAGGCATTTTGTTATAGTAATGCAAGGCTGACTAACAGCTGGGTTGATCAGAAGGTTAGCTGTATTGAATGCATTTTCAAGTTACAGTATTTTCACACTTACCAGAACACAATCCCATTATAAGTTGAGAAACATGTGAGGTTAGTTAACATATTTAATTCCAGTGAAAGGACCACGAACGCTTTTACAGGCAGAAGACATGGGTGAGTTGTTGAAAGGCACTGTGATCAAGTTTTTAAAAATCAGCCTATGGAGCACTCCCTGGGTCTCCCACCTCCCCAGCCCCTGCACCTGCTCCCTCTCATGTCTGAGTCTTGACGCACAGTGCTACAGCAGAAACCAAAGAAAGGAGAAAATCAAGGTGGCTGAGAGACAGATAACACTGCCCTTTAATTCAACACAACCCCAAAGGGGTCCCCTATCACCTCAGGAGCAGGCAGGCTGACTTTCCGTCCTGGTGCTGACAAATTTTAAAATTTTTAAAGGACATTTTTTCATAACGTGTTTGAGTGGGAAAAAAATTAGCTCATCAAACTCATTGTTTTTCATACAATGTTGTTAATGTGGAACTAAATTGCAAGAAATGAGTCACTTAAAGAAAAATAGTATGCAAATGATGCAAATGATGGTAGACGATGTCAACTGTAGGATAGGGACTAAAGTTCCGCAAGTTCTGAGTATATGAGACATCTTTGGGGAGAGGAGGTGTGGGTGCTGCAAAGTTATACATCAGCCTGAGCGGTTGGTGATCTTTGAGATTGGCAAATGCTGACTTTAAAAAGGGACAGGATGGGATGCTACACAGAAAGGAAGCAACAGGGATTCAGGGCAGCAATGAATTTGAACTTGCTTTTCGCAGCACCTCCTGCGTGGCATTCTTGCACCAGGCTGAGCAGGCTGTGGAGGTCTCCTCTGTGGGAACTGGCCTCTGCCGTGCCATGATGGGTTCCTAGACCCGCACAGGGTACAGAAGAGTGAGAAGCTGTTATTCTACTCACGCTGCAAAATAGCCGCCATAACAATGAGAATTTAATAGCTTGCTCATTCCGGGCCAAGCTCTGCTCTGTGTGCTTTAAGGGCCCTGTAGAGTTTATTCTTCACCAACTTGGCAAGTTAGGGAATTTTATTCCTGATTTTACAGATGAGGAGACTGAGGTTCAGGGACATCAGGCAAATTGCTCTGAGGCATGCGCTGTGGATGACCAAGGGTTCACGTTTACATCTGGCTGACACCCAAGTCCAGAGTCTGAATGAGCTAGCTGAAGGCAACAGTGCCACAGCAACCCCTGGCCCAGGCTGGGCTGCAGATGTGTTTGGTTTGGCTTGCTTGGTGTTTGATTCTGTTCTAATTGGCTGGCAACAACCAAGCATTGGAGATTTCACTTGAAAAACCATTGTTCTGATTTCTCTGAGCAGAGCTGTATGATCCAACCAACCTGGGCCCACCCCCCATTTGGTGACATGAGTGACGCTTCCTTTGTAGCTAAAACCTTTGCTCTGCACATTTCTACAGGCCCTACTAGTCCCTACTTCTACAGGCCCTCCACACCTCTCTCAACCACCACCACACTCACCACCCCTGGAGCAGGCATCTGAGTAGGGGACATCTACTCTGCACTGTCCATAGTAAGCACAAGGGCAGGGTGGGCCTCCTAATCAGGAAAGGTTTGCTCTATCCCCACTCCACCTTAGCCTCTCACTGACCAAGACCTAAGCATAAAGCATCCCCTGGCCCATGTCATCAGTGGGTAAACAGAGGCCCAGAGAGAGGGACGTATGCATTATTTTCCTATTGCTGCTGTAGTATTCCATAAATTTTTCTTCCTCAAAACATTTCATATTTATTCTTTTACAGTCCTAGAGGTCAGAAGTATAAAATTGGTTTATCAGCTTAAACTGACATACAAGTAGGGCTGTGCTCCTTCGAAAGATTGTAGGGGAGAATTAGTTTCCTTGCCTTTCCCAACTTCTGAGAGGCCACCCACATTCCTTGGCTTGTGGCTGTTCCTCTGTCTTCAAATCTAGCCGCACAGCATCTTCAAATCTCTCTCATGCTCCCCCTTATAAATACACTTGTGATGACATCAGGCCCACTTGTGTAACTTGGAATAACTATGCCAGCTCAAGATTTTTAACTTTGTGACATCTGCAAAGTTCACTTTCCCTCACAAAGTGATATATGCACAGATTTCAGGAAAGGATGTGAGCATCTTTGCAGCCATTACTTGGCCTGCCACAGTGGACTTGCTCGAGGTACTGTGCAAGGATTAAGACTAGCAGGGGCCAAGAGATGAAAGGAGGGGAAGGAAAGGATTGAAGGAAGGATTCAGCTGTGTTACGTATACATGTCTACCGACTTCCTGTCAGAAATGTAATTGCTCTGTGCTGCAAATGTGTACTAACAGAAAGGAAGGAAGGAAGGAAGGAAGGAAGGAAGGAAGGAAGGAAGAAAGAAAGAAAGAAAGAAAGAAAGAAAGAAAGAAAGAAAGAAAGAAAGAAAGAAAGAAAGAAAGAAAGAAAGAGCAGGGAGCAGAGCTCAAGGCTGCATTTTTCTCTATTCCCTTTCTTGACATTATAAATCTTCCCTTTAAAGAAAATGCTTCAATTCTGATGTTTTCTAGGGAATGGGCAGAAGGGGGCAGGGAAAAAGCTAAGCAAGGAAGCCCCATATGGCAGGAAGCCAGGGCATAGGCTCTTCCTGCTGAGCACCAACATGACACACACCAGGAGTGTTAACGAACCCAGGGCAGCTCCCATGTTCCTGGGCTCTAGCAAGACCCATGGTAGCCATCCTCATGACCCCCAGCCTCCTGTCTCTCCCCTCCCAGGGACCTTTCCTGAAATGCACATCTGAATGCTTCCGTTCAAACCCGCCACCCTCCCAGGCAGTATCCAGATTTATGCCCAACATTGACAGAATATGGCTCAGCTCCTGCTACCATCTCTGCCCTTCTGCTGTGGAGGCCCTGGCTCTGGGGTCAGGAGCCTCGTCCTGTTGCCTTGTTTATTCCAGGCATATTCTCACTTCTTGTGTCTCTTTTCATCTCCTCCACACAAAAACTTGCGAGTGGCCAACCCTGTTAGACAAATGAGGAAATGTGCCAGACACAGAGTAGTTTTCCTGATGCTGCGCAGCTATCTGGATCTGAGGTTTGAACCCAGCTCCCTGGCTTCTCTGAGGCAGCTCTTGGGTTCTGACCGCAGGGGCTGTCATGCTCCATGGGCTCAGCAAGTGTGTACAGAGGGAGCGAGGGCATGGGCTGTCTCTCCGGCTCCAGCAGCCTCCCGCAGGAAGCATTGTAAATTGAAAACCAGTGACATCGCCAGCCTCTGACAGCTTCTCTGGTGCTGGAGGAATAATTCATGGTGCATGACTGGGGCCTCAGATGACAAAGCCTGTCAGGATTTGGCTCCTGCCTGGCGCTGGGATGCAGTTTGCAGCCATGGAGACCATCACCAGCTGGGAGGTCGAGGCAAGTGGCTTCACCTGTCTGCACTCACCCCTTCCTCTCCTTCACCTGGCTCATCACGGGGACAAGGCGGATTGGCAAGGTAACCTGTCCCCACCCCCGCAGGACACTGTGTAAGTGGGTGTCACCACAGGCCTGGGGTTCTCAAAGGGGTCTGAACCACTGGTCAGCACTGTCATTTCATTAGCAGTTCACTGCTAACCCTCTAATCTGCCCTGGGTGCAGTCAGCAAGGCCACGGCCGGCTTGCTCCACTGGTGACTATTTGCCTGCAGTTGGTACTGTTTCCCTGATGCTGTTAGCAGGAGGACCGCCCCTGGCCAGGGCCGCCTGCACAGTGCCTGGACATTTCAGCTGCATTCTGGCCCTCTGCTCTACTTGGTCCAACTCCAACTGTGTCCTTGGCTCTCCGCACACCTACACTGAGAGCAGCACAGGCCCTGCTCTCGAAAGCCGCCTCCTTCCATGGATTTTGTCTCCATGCAGTCCACGCACAGAGCTTGCTTTTACTAAGTTGGCTGTTCTCATCCATCCTATTTCTGTCACAGACACATGCCAAGTGTCCACAGTACGCACACCTGTCATTGCATGTTACACGTGCTTGGATTTTTCCTGTGTGCCAGAGACCTGAAATTCCATGAAAATGCACTCTCATAGCCTTCTTGATCCGTGCCTCAGAAGTGCTCACTCTTTGTACTGCTGAGCTCTCACTCTGAGCCCTGATTCCTCTCAGAAATGGCGGGATGAGGAGAAGGATGACATCACATGCTCCCTGCAGGTGCTCTGAATTTTCACTCATCTGACATCTTTTATTGAATACCTACTACGTGTAGGGCAAAGGGCTGTAAGTGGAGGAAAGGAAGATGAACAAATTCACACAGTCCTGGCCTGCCTGGAGCTTAGAGCTGAGGAGGGGCCCGGAGGAAGGGTGGGTGAGGAAGTGCATACAGTCCTCCTTTCGAATCCTGGGGCTTTGTTCTAGGACTTCTGCAAATATCAAAATCCAGGGGTGCACAAGTTCCTTGGGGCAGTGGCACCGTATTTGGCACACTTTCTCCTATAGACTTTTAATCGTCGCCAGAGTACTGATAGGACCTAATTCTATGTAAATGGTAGTGAGGTGCATGGTTTTCGGAAATAATGACGAGAACAAAGGAGTCTCAAGGGTTGCACTTGTTGTCAAACGTCTTCCACTCCCCACCCGCCGTGGCTGCAGAAGCAGAGCCAGGGCGGGCCCGGGGCCTCATGCACTGCCTTGGCTCTGCAGAAACCGGCTGGGAGCTGCAGGACAGAGTGGAGTTCAGCACTGGGGGGCAAAGCCGGAAGAAAGGGGCGAGGGGCCGGCAGGCTGCAGGAGGAGGGTGCAGCCCTGGTGGGCGCCCAGAGGAGGCCGAGCTTGTGTGGCCGCCCCGTTGTGGCTCCGGGCCACAGTCTCCTGGCCCGGAGAAGGGACCCTGCGGCTTTCTACCGGGCAGGGCTGCTTGAGGGCGAAATGAGGGAAAGAGCCCAAGGCGTTGTTCCCAGGTACAAAATAACAGCACACAGTGGCAGCGCATCCTCTGGCCCCTCCTAAGGGGGGCTGGTGGCGGGCAGGCTCGGATGGCCGCAGCCACTGGACAGAGCTTGCCTAGGCTGGAAGCCCAGCCCTGCTGAGGAGTACGTGACTTCTGCGTACCTGAGGGTAAAGGGCTCCCCAGACCAAGTGAAATGCCAGGGGCGGAGGGGCGTGTGGACCGCAGTGCACGCCCCAGTGACCCAGAGTGGTCCTTGTCCAGCGGGTGGAGGCAGGTCCACAGGAGATCTTTCCAGCCGCACGTGGCCCGCACCGGGCAGACCCAGGCCCTGGCCCCTTCCTACCCGCGGGGGAGCGGGGCGCAGGAAGCTTCCAGATTTCTGTCAGCTTCAGGGCAGCTGGACAGCGCCAAGGTGCTTGAATCCACCCCTGCGCAGCACCTGGCCCTGGAGGGCGCTGGCAAGCGGAGCTGGGGCCGGGAGCCGGGCGGTGGCAGAGGACCGAGGAGGGCTCCATGGGAAGAATCGCGAGCTCGAGCTGGAGGATGAAAGGCGATTCGACTCGCCAGAAAGGAGGTGAGGGCAGTCTCGGATCCGAGGGCGCACGGCAGCGGGCTTGGGGCGGGGCGGACGCGGCTCACCCGCCACAAAGGCGGGCGGCGCTGCCCCCTGGCGGCCGAGTACGGCGGAGCCGCTCCTTTGTTCTGCGCGGCCGCTCTGGGGCCTGGGGCGGAAGCGGCGCCGGCGGGGGCTGGAGCCGGGTGGGCCGAGGCGCTAGTGCCAGCGCCGCTCTTCGGCCGCAGGGCGTGGGCGGGCTCCACAGTCCTCTCCGAGTCTCAGTTTCGCCAGGTGTGAAACAGAAACGAGCCGCCCGCGCTGGGGCGGTGCCGGACTGTCACCCGCGCGGGTCGGGCCCTCTCAGGCTGCACCACGCAGGGCCGCTCGCACTGCAGCTGCCCGGCTCCCCCGCCCCGGGTCCTGCAGAAATCCACTAACGCAACCCTTTGGCGGGAGCAGAATGGAGGAGTTTGGGGGGGGGATGCGGCAGGAGGCCTCTGCCCTGTCCTCAGTCTTTCTCCAGCCCTCACCCCGCTGCACCTGCACCTCGGCCCCCAGCCGCTCCCCAGAGCACAGGAACGGCTTTCCTTCCTTTGAGCTGCCCTGCACCCCGCACTTCCAGACACCGGTCCCCAGCTAACGCCGCCCTCCTCCCCAGAGGACTCTGGGTGGGTGCCGGTTCCTCCATCTCCAGAGGGGCGTACAGGTGGATTTATGCTCATTATCTCCTTTCTGGTGGCAGATCTGTCCCGCACTCACCTGAAGCCACTGTTTAATGTCCCATCAGATTGAGCGTGGGCGGGGGAAGAGGGGGAAGGAAGGAAGGTAAGAAAGAGAAGAAATACACTCATTAGGAGTGCCATAACAATATTACAGACCTTCCAGGGGAAAGCAAGGAAGGAGGGGAGGAAGGAAGGAAGGAGAAGAGGGAGGAAGGAAGGAAAGAAGGGAGGGGGAAATGAAGCAGTATTGTCTAGTATTGCCCCTGGCCGGTGTTTATGTGATGTAGTGACTAAACTATAGATAGTACCTTGAGGAGCAAATAACCACCTGCAAATATTCGAAGTAGCCAGGCGTGGTGGCGCACATCTGTAATCCCAGCCCGCTCGAGGCTGAAGCAGGATGTTCCTTGTGAGTTCGAGGCCAGCCTGGGCTACAAAGTGAGTTCAAGGCCAGACCAAACTGCATAGTAAGACCCTATCTCAGAAAAAAAACAAAAACAAAAACACTCTCAACACTCACGAGATTTCCCATGAATGCTTGAATTTCCGCATCCTCTGGAAAATATGCCACTAACTGGGTCCACTTTCTGGCCCAGTGGAGCTCACTTTTGACCGCGTGTAGGTTCTGTGGTCCCCGCACTGTCCGCTCCCCCACTCACTCCTCATCCTTAGCTGCCTGAGAGCTCCAGGAGCTGAGCTGAGCAAGAGGCCTGCTGTCCGGCTGAGCATGCTGCTCAGCGGGGAGGCTGGGATCTAGGAGAATGTGGGTTCAAATCCAGGCTGTAGTATCTGAAGGCTGTGTGTGACTTTGGGTGAGCGGTTACCCCTTCTAAGATTCAGTTTCTCCTTCTGTGAGGAAGGCAGAATAGAGGCGCATGAAATGATTTTGGGCCCAAAGTCCTGGCACAAAGCAGACCCGCAGTCTAGGCTTGGCTCTGTGCCTGTGACAGCTTTGGCAGGTTTCATGGAGCACGGCATTCGCTCGGGCTCCAGCGCCTGCCTCGGTGTGCAGCAGGGGACCACACCTCCAGACAGCCTTTCCGTGTCAGCGCCCAGTGGGTGGTGGTGGGTGAGCTTGGGGCTCAGAGTCGGGAATTTGCGGTAACCCTAGCTTCAGCTTTGCAGCATTAGCTCTAACCTTGGGCAGGTGGTTTCCTCCTCCCACCCTCAACTCCCCAAAGGGAAACGAGAGGGAGCAGGAAGAACGTGGTTGGGGTGCCAGTGGAGGGAGGGGACTGATGTCTATCAAGTGTCCTTACACCCAGCAGGATAGAATAAGATGCTGCAAAGGACCCTGCTCTTGTTAAACTTCACGACAACCTCTTCCTGTGTACTGGGATTGTACCCAGTATACCCGGGGAAGCTGAGTCTAAGACAGGCAAATGGACAAGCAGATTGGAGAAAGATCTGGAATCTGAGGCAGGGCTGTGTCATTTTCCCCCTGGGAGGCTGCATGCAGAGAAGACAGAATCCCTCTGAGTACCGCTTCTGAGCAGCTAATCGGCTCTTTCAGGTCAAAATTCCTCAAACCACCTCCACTGCCAGAATTCTGTGTCCCAGAACAAGAAAAAGGGTTCAGTGTGTTTCTATAAAGAGAGACAAGTCTATCTGGGGGGAAACTTGGGTCTGGAGAGGAAGCCAATACATGTGGTTATTTGACCAAACTCCTTTGATTCTGAACCAGTGTTTTAGAGCACGACAATGAATTAGTGGGAAATCTTTCGTTTATTCACTCACCGACTGGTTCACCAGTGCTCTGCTTACTGATGCATTCATTCAGTTCCCCAGGACGTATTTATCAAGCAGCTACTAGCACTGGCACCCCCAGGACTAGAGACTGGGGACTTAAAAGAAAATGAGGCTGAGTGCCTGCCTGCCTGCCTGGAGCTCCCATGGGCACCTGCGGGGAGACCCAGCAAACGCACAAACAAAAAGTGGGGGCCCAGCATGGATTGTGAGCCCTGAGTAACAAGCCAGCCAGAGGGATGCAGAGCCAGCCTGAAGTGGAGGGGACAGGGTGCCATGGGTAAGGTGGTGGAGGGCACCTTTGTCACAGTGGCCCTTAGCAGAGGCTGGAAGGAGTTTAGGAGCTGGCTGTCCTGATATGGGGAAGAGCATGCTAGAGAGAGGGAACGGAACAGACAAAATCTCAGAGTGAGGCGTGAATAAGACGGCAAAGGAGAGGCTACACCCAGCTGCAAGTGGGAGCTCTGCGCAGATGCAGAAGAGCCGCAGCGACAGTGGACAGTGTCACGTGGATCTCCCAGCCTGCCCTCAGCTCCAGGCCCCCGGTAGAGTGCAGAGACTCAGACCTCAGTACTGTGATGCAGGAGCTTCCACTGCCCTCCCACTTAGAGGTGAGAAAGCCAGGCTCAGAAACTGGACAGGCCGACTACTGTGGGGTCCGGAGCTGGCCGCCTCTGTCCAGGCAGACAGCAGAAGACACCCAGAGCTTTGCTCCAGCATGACAACCTCCGCAGACCAGAGAAGACTAAGGGGGCCCTCTTCCCGGCGTCCCTGCTGCTGCTGGACACGGCAGGGCTCCCACGATAGGACGCACCAGTGCCCCTCAGGCTGAGCTCCTGCAGGCTGACAGGCAGCTGCCTCCTTGCCAGTGTAAGTATGCGCTTGTGCTGGGGGGCACATTAGAGAATTGCCTTGCCTCCCTCTCTGTATGTATGCTTGGACCAGGAGGAGGAAACCGAGGTTCCTTCCACCCTGGCTTTCCAGTCTGAGCCCCTTAGGGCCACGTGTTGGGTGCATGCAAACACTGCCACCCCGGGTCTGGCATTCATTTGCCGTGTGACAAACACGAGCTGGCGCAGAGATCAGCGTGTCTTTCCTGCGCAGGGGCCTGCATTCTGTGTCATCAGACTCTCCCAGGACCTGGAGGCGGCAACGCCGAATCTGCTGCGGTGGCTCAGAGAAGCGGAAGCCGAGCTCAGAGACAGCCCACTCGGGTAGGGGCAGAGGCGGGGGAGGGGAGACCGGATCCCAGGGCCGGCTCCACGCCCTGCCACTCTTCAGTGCCACCACTGCCGTGCTGAACGAGGGAGGAGAGGCTGGCAACGTCACTGAGACCAGGCCCGCAGTCCCAGCTTGTCCCCTTATTCGTCCTCTAGTTGGGGACAGTCATGCCCCTTCTATGTCCTTATTTGTTTTTGAGATAGGTTCTCTCTGTGTAACCCAGGCTGGCTTTAAACTCGAGGCCCTCCTGCCTCGGTCCCCTGAGTGCTGCGATTACAGGCGTGTGACTCCGTGCTCAGTCCGCAAGATTAGCTCTGTGAAATGACAGTGCAGCTTTCGAGAGCGGGCAGGTGAATGGGACGAGACCGCAAACCTCCCCTGCAGTCTATGATAGCAATACTAGCAAATGTTACTGAGAGCTCACCGCGTGCCAGGCATGTTCGAAGCTCTGTATGTATATTGTCACCGAGTCACAACAAAGCCCCACGAACTTGGCTCTGATGTGCGGGTGGGGAAACAGCTCCCAGCAGCGTGGTGAGTTGTCACACCACTTGTAAGCAGTGGCACTGCTTGGCCTAACATGGGAACACGCTGAAGTCTTGTACTGCTACTCCCAGCCTTCAGATCAGAGCTCTTTGGGTTTAAAGTTTGCATTCTCTCTGTTGCTCACCTCCACTCCCAGGAGAGGTTCCAGGTCTCTCCCAGGATGGGCCCGTTGCTGCGAAGCTGGGAGCGCTGGCCCAGCCATTCCTGGGTGTGCGGGTGCCTTGCCTGTGGCAACACTGCCCTCCAGTGGTAGGGATGCCACATTGCCCTTCACGGGCTGTCTCAGCCTGCGTAGATGGCATAGTCCTGCACAAAGGAACGTGTTTCTTGGGAGAAGCCAGAGGGATAGGTCTCCCTTGTGTCACAAATTAACCTTTATGCAAGCATTTCCCAATGTGAGGAGAAAGAAGGAATTAGTGGGCTTCTGGGGACAGCGCCTTTCCCTAGGAGTAGTGTTTTCAGCCCCGGTGACAGTGACATGCTGGTTAACATTGTTAAACAGCCTTTCAGGGAAAGAGCTCTGATTTGTAGTATTTGCTTGCTTCCCTGGTGTAAATACTATCACCAGGGCCAGTTCCAAAGAACCAGCGTGAGACCACTGGATGTAGAGTTGCAGAGAGACGCCCACGGTCAGCTCCAGGGAGCCAGCTCCAGCTGGCTCCAGAGTGGGAAGCTCTCGGGGGAATTCACTGTGCCTGGGCCCGCCGAGTCTTTAGATCCGACCATGTTCAGGGCTAAGCTTCCTAAGTATTTCTTTGTGTTCATATATGCATTTGTATCTACTGGGGAATTTTCTGT